TGAGACACAATGGTATCTCTTTTTATATAGTTGAAATCAGTTTTCTTTTTCGATAAACTTTTGGATGTCACATGTGCATGTATTATTGTATGTTGGATAATTACTTCGAATTCGGACGTTTTCGAGTCATAATATCGGACGAGTCATAATATTTTATATAATATTTATTATATTTAATATCATCATCGGACGAGTCATAACATTTAACATTAAACCTATCCCGTTCGTTCCTTTTCTTTCCTACCTAAGCCTTGAGATACTATGTCAGCGTAACCCTGACGTAAGCTCTCGGGACTCAAACCCGGAGGCCTTGCTAACACTGGCCCTAACAAGAGCAGTGCTTCGCAGAATCTACCATCGCGTCGGAAACGCGACCCATTGAGAAGATCCGGCTAGAAACTCAGTGGGCTGTGTCTATGGGGCCCGTTCGCTGTTGTAGTCTTTTGAACACATAAACTAAATTATCCTTATACAGACATTTCTACGATATACATTGCTTTATGTAGCATACGAAATTCAATTCAAACTAATAACTGCCTCATTCCAAAATGTAAGGTAAAAAATGTGGTCCACCTTTTTTTTAAATTCGTCTAGGTTATGTAAATCTCGTAATTGTACTTCTTTATTGTTAATAACTGAACGCGAGCTGACTCATCCGCTAAGTGGTTATCGAAACTCGCAGACAATGTCATGCGTCCACTCATGAGACATGAGGTCGAAATTTAAATAATACTGTATTAACTTTTTTTTTTTTTCCTACCTAATCTGAGAGCCTTGAGAGGCTATTTCAGCGTAACCCTAACGTTTGTAGGTGAGCTCACGGGGCTCAAACCTGACGACGATGCTAACACGAACCCTGGCAAGAGCCGTGCTTCGCAGAATCTACCACCGGATCGGAAACGCGACCCACTGAGAAGATCCGGCGAGAAACTCAGTGGGCTGTGTCTGAGAGTTAATTTACTCGTCGAGCCCTTCGTCGCAAGCGACGGGTTCGGCGAGAACGGTGACCGGTGCTTGAAGTACCTAGAAGCACCGTTAGTGGATCGGGAGGACTCGAGATGACGTGTTTTGGGCGACGTCGACTGCTTTCCATTCTGTTGTATTAATTGATAACACCGCCTTTGCACCGGACCGCATGACTGGCTTGCGGCATTAATAGGCAGGATGGTGGTACTTACCCGAATGGGCTGTAATTACGCAAACTTATTTTTTCAATTTTTTCAATTACACAATGCGTCGTGAAAGTGGTTCGTGAGCATGTATTGAATACGTGCTTATATTAAAAAATGAGCATCTACCTGCGGGATTCGAACGCCGAACCAACCGCAGTGGTTGAAGCGAGTATACCGGGCATCTTATCTTTTAGGCCACTTCGGCTAAGTTCTAAACGTTAAAAATAATTCACAAAGTAATCTCGAAGATTTCTGACTGATTTTTTAACAAAACAAACACTCCTCGATCCAATCTTGTGTTTGCACGTATCATGAACTTATAAATCCGAGGAATCCACTTGAGAAATCTACTTTCGAAAGAAAATACTTCGTTCCCAGAATAAGGCGCGTCTCATAAACCGCGGATCCCACGCGAATCCTTCATAATTCCCGAACGCATTTCTTAGGAGTTTAATCGAGTAAATGAAATTAAAGATGTCTGGATTCATAACGGCCGAACTAAACAATAAATAATTAATAAGAAATTTAGGTTAAAGTAATAAAATTATTGTAGTGACATCGATCGTGGTAGAACATTGTCTTGTAACGCGTTTAAACTCGCATTTTAATAAGAAGTCTTGAAATCGATCAAAATTACCTTGAAAGATTCGATAACATAGACACACGTAAGGTTAACGAATAACAATAAGGAACGTGTTATACGCGAATCTATTTAAATCCGGACGTCAAAATGTCAAATGTCAAAATTAAAACACTCAATCCATTAGGTAATGATTAATACATGATTTTGGTATTAATCGTTGAGATTATCGGTAGATTACTTTAATTAATTAATTTTTTAAAAACTCAACCTTAAATCGTAATATCATTCTTAATTAGGGCCGTAAAAAATTCACACGAAACGTGTATAAAACCCAAAAATCTACATAGGCTTTATTGAATAATATCAAAATATTACAATACGTCTGTGAACAGTACAAATTGCTCTCTAGCTGGCCATCACGGAATCACATCATGAAGCAACTTTATAGACGATCGTAAACGAGATACGTACTATAAAATCACAATTTGAATTTCCTTAAGACAGTTCAATTTTCAAGGTTTAATTGAGTTTTAAAGCACCGACATGAGCCGTAGTTCCCAATTATCAATAAAACAACCGTTCGGGAGGTTATTGAGTCGGGCGCGGACTTGGGGACGGGACGGGGGCCGCGCGACCACACCGTGAACTTTTATGTCATTTATTTAACTTAAGCACACACTTTCCTAAAAGTGAAATGAATACAATGATAACTTTGTGGGTAGTCACCACGGCTTACGGACGACCCCTAAGACAAGGCTACAGCTAAGCCATTGGAACGATTTTATTGATCATTTTGTGGGTAGTCACCGCGGCTTATGGATGTCCCCTATGACAAGGCTACAGCTAAGTCACTGATGCGATTGTATTGATCATGTTGTGGGTAGTCACAGCGGCTTATGGATGTCCCCTATGACAAGGCTACAGCTATGCCACGGATACGATTATATTGATCATTTTGTGGGTAGTAACCACGGATTACAGACGTCCCCTATGACAAGGCTGCAGCTAAGTCACTGATGCGATTGTATTGATCATGTTGTGGGTAGTCACCGCGGTTTACGGACGTCCCCTATGACAAGGCTACAGCTAAGCCACTGCCCACTTCTCAGGATTCTTTTCAAACCTCATTCGAAGCAGCACATGTCATAGGGTCCAAAAAACATCGTAGAGAGAACTTAATTCCAGAATCGAATAGCACATGGTACAAAATATCTCTGATCACGAACTAGTGTTACTTATTTAATCAAATATTCACATAGCGTAAATTAGAATTTTAAGATTTGTTACGGAAATCCATTTTAAATATGAACATTCGTGTTCATAAAAATCTTGACTAGCATTAGGTACCTGGTTACGTCTCTACGTGCAGCGTTTAAATCATCATCGACAATTCTCTACAGCGTGAGTACGAGATGCAACTGATGTGGCGGTGTTGTCGTCACAGAAACACAAAAATCCGTACAAGAAACAAAGGTCTCCTTACACAATGAAAATTTATGTTAATTTTATTTATGTTATGTTGCGGCCGTTTGGAACGTACAAAAAGGCCGCGCAACTAGAAAAATAATACTTTTTAAAATTTACATCCAAAACGTGTAAGTTCTTTTCGAAAATATTAATAGTGCCATAGTGATATAAGCTTTTTCATTGACGATAGCGACAGCGCCCACTGAAAGCCTTTAATGAACTATCAAAAACCGTTTATAGTCTGATTATTGTTTTTACAAAGTGCCGATATCATTCAGTATACTTTATATTTTATGCGAACTCGTTATTCTACTTTTTTAAATTATCACATCTGTCTTTTATTGCTTTTATTCCCATCGCGTTTTCAATCAGCGACTTTAGACTCTAATAACTGCGACAGAAGGTCGACCGACCGTAACGACAGCTATTCGTCTGTAAAGACGCAAAGTTAAACACATCAAAGGCCTTCCTCCGAGTCGTAAAATTATATTCATAACACAAAGGGTCACACGAAGCCATACGATATTGATATTCGAATCGACAAAACAAATTCGAACAAGCCGAATCCACAAACAAACGGCACGCAAAAACAAATGGGGCAATACCTAACAGGCAATTATAAAGTTTGGCGCGACGGACGCGAGCGGGAGGCCGCCGCTCTGTTAGACTTGTTTCCGATTAAGTTCACATTTGAGAATCTATATATTAATACGCGAAGCAAAAACTTTGTATCCCTTTTTACGAAAATTGCGCGGACGGAAGAGCATGAAATTTTCCACACTTATAGAGAACATAGATAAGAAGTGCACAATGCTAATTTTTTTGTAAATAATGCATAAAAGATACATTAAATCAATAAAGAAAACATTACACACACTACATACCATGTATTTGACGCACACACGCAAGCATAATATTTATTGTCAAACTTTTGTTCTTGACGTCTGTTGTCAAATTGAGAATAGATTAAATATTGTTTGTCTTTGTTAATATTTTTTATAGTGTAGTCTTGGCGAAATTTGTGATTATAGAAGTATAAAATACTATCATAATAGTGTACAAACTTACAATTCCAATTAATTGTAGTCGAATTTCGACTACTGCGGGACCTCTAGTTAAATGTAAATAAGCGACTCTCGATTGATATTTTAGTGCTCAAAGCGTTTTATCGAAAACGAACATTTCGCATAAACCTGTTCTCTAATCAGACGTTAGCCGCTTTCTTCGTGAGACTTCGCCTAAATGAAATCTAAATTAGTCGATTGGTAATAAATAAAAATTGTAGACACCGAAGAAAAATCTAGACTTTATTCAACGTACCTTTCGCCGCCGGATTAGTCATATTGCAATTATTTGCACTCTTCGAACCAAAGCAGGTTTTTAAGCAAAAGGATACCTAAAACGGTACTATAACCAGTTGAAAACGTATTCCAGGACAGATATTTGTGATATACATTCAAGAATAATGCACGTTAAAACACAAAGTCAGTTTTGTTGTTATTCAGTTTTTTTTTAATAAATGAAATTAGTTTTTTTTAATTATATAAAGACACCGAATCGTGTTATCGTCATATAAGATACAGTAATAAATAATGTTAGAGCGGAAAGCATGAAATGTGCCATTATGTTAAGATTAAATAGAATTCGAAAACCAGAAATGAGAACGTTAACATAAAAGGGGAAAGCAAAAGGGGGTCGCGTGCACGGGAATTACAGGTTCTAACACAGAAACAAAGAGGCTTGCATTCGCATAGCGGAGGTTGCAAATGTCAGCTGACCTCTGTAGACGTCGTCGTAGAGGGGCGCGAGCGCGGCGTCGGGCGCGCCCCAGCGGGACGGCTCCGGGTACACCATGGCCGCGCCGCTACCTCATCGCAGCTCGCGGCGCGTGCGGCTGCACCGGCGTCTGCGCGCACACTGACACCCACCAGCCCACCACAGGCGCTCGCCTCTCATCCTCATCACACCTCCGACGACGAGGACGCGCGGCCGTTGACTTCTCTATCAGACACTCGCTGAGACAAACATGACCTTATCACCGCATTTAAATCCAGGATCGGGAGCTAAGGCGATAGATAACTTCGACAAAAGCTCGCTGAAATCGAACAACGATTTTATAATTTTACCACTGTATCCAAGTGCAAAAGAGTGATCTGCGCTCTTTGTCGCGACGTCCAGCCCCTCCCCTCCTGAGATCGGGTCTTCGCCCCCCTCTATGCTTCACTTTCGCACGGTCCGCGACACTAGTTTAATTGCAACCCACCGCTCTGCTGCCAGAACCGGATTTATTGTCTGCCGCCGAACGATATCACCTCAAACTTGACGAGACACGAACAAACAAGAAATTTCGCTCCCGCATTTTGCACTTCGTAACAATAATTTATAGATATTTAAATGCACCTACCATTACTATGCAAGCATTAAGTTCACTGATGTAAATAAATACATGAATAAATATAAATAAATAATCTTATATTTCATTATATGGTGAACTTGATTTTTAACATTTTTGTAGAAACATTATTTAAGAAATAGAACTATTATTAAATCAATGTCATCCTTCATGCGTAGGAGTGTCGAATAAAGCGCTTTAAAGCTCTTGTAAAAGACATCAACGAGAGCCTTTCATTTAAACCTAAGTCTAAGTCGAATGATTATAAGTGATTATTTTAATTTCTTAAAAGTGAAAGTGAAACTATACGTTTTCATTTGTTTCCTTTCGAAATTTTCCCTAAAATTGGCCTGTTCTAGTTTTTCATCAATAAATTAAGCACTGTTACTACACATACACATTTGCGATTCACGTCTTAGAAAAACAATTTTTTTTTAGTTTAGTTTAAAATTGCAATGTTTTACGTATCTTACAGTTTTATGACTTCCGAAACATTATCTTGACACAATATTCTCGTTAACAACAGGATATGTATACGTAATGTGGAAATTACAAAAAAAAACTGTAAAAATGTTTAAAAGAAATTTTTGTTTTAAAGATTCCCGAACTCCATTTTAAATATCCGTAACACAAATAATAGCTTAATTCAATCGATCTCAATTCTAAACCACTCCAACATAATTACATTCTTACCATTCAAAACAACACCGCAACGGACACCTACCTAATCGTTAACAAACAAAAACTAGACCTAGAACTCGTATCAAACGACTCGCATCATGTCTTAATTGTGGATAGTTATCTCGCAATGTATCAAATCACCGTGGATAGACACCTGTATCACAAACTAGATAATTATCACATGCGTCGTGAGGCGGGTAACAAAGTTTTATTTGCTTGGCGCTAGGTGTGATTAGGTGCATGCAAGAGTGAACCATGCAGTTCGAAGGATGAGGGGGAAAGCCATCGCCGGAACCAGTTTAGGTTTTAAATTTGCGATAAAAAAAAATACATATAAATCTGCAGCCGCGCGTGTCATTAGCCACGATGGGCTCTGCTCTCCGCCGCCTGTATTTATTAATCTTATTCGAAGAAATCGACGCATCACCCGATCTTGCTCTCGCCCCCGCTCAGGCTAACGTAGTGACACCACGATTTCAAAGCTACGTTGGTACTATTTCAAACAGAATTATTTTCGCCAACGAATACGGTAATGGACAACACCGAAGATAAACGAGGCAAAGAGAGCAGTAGGATTATTGCCGGTATAATATATTTGCGTAATGACTGGTAAGGGAAGGAATTGTAAGCCCTCGTGCTATTCGCTGGTACCATATCTGGGGTGAGTATCGTATATTCCGACCGCAACGGGGCAAGGAAAAGCCACCGTCGCCCGAAATATGTCTTGTCGGATCACGCCGATTCACTCTCGGTGCTTTTAGACCTCTCAAGTACCGGTCACCATCCTCGTCGAACTAGTCGATTACGACAGAGTCTGACGAGCGAACTAACCCGTAAACACGTGTGGGTCGTGATTCCGATCCGGTGGTAGATTCTGCGAAGCACTGCTCTCGTCAGGGCCAGTGTTTTTTTTAATTTTTTATTGCTTAGGTGTGTGGACGAGCTCACAGCCCACCTGGTGTTAAGTGGTTACTGGAGCCCATAGACATCTACAACGTAAATGCGCCACACACCTTGAGATATAGTTCTAAGGTCTCAGTATTGTCACAACGGCTGCCCCACCCTTCAAACCGAAACGCATTACTGCTTCACGGCGGAAATAGGTGGGGCGGTGGAACCTACCCGTGCGGACTCACAAGAGGTCCTACCACCAGTAATTACGCAAATTATAATTTTGCGGGTTTGATTTTTATTACACGATGTTATTCCTTCACCGTGGAAGTCAATCGTGAACATTTGTTAAGTACGTATTTCATTAGAAAAATTGGTACCCGCCTGCGGGATTCGAACACCGGTGCATCGCTCGATACGAATGCAACCGGACGTCTTATCCTTTAGGCCACGACGACTCCTTAGTGTGTTAGCAGTGTTAGCCAATTCTCACAGGTTAAGCCCGTGAGCTCACCTACCCATCCGGGCGTAGTTGGAATAGCCTCTTAGGATACCAGCAAATAGGTAGAGACAAAAAATTCGGGTATTAAACTAGTATATTGCGATTACTGACCGTCATAGGACTATCTTTAGAAAAAAACTACCTATAGTATGCTACCCATCTAAGCCAAAAAAAACAGAAGTTCAGACCATCAACGAAGAGTGACTTAATATTTCTTTTATTTAATGGAATTAGAATCATTATAGTACCAGAAGCCATAGCAGGGTAGATACGTTCCTTCAAAGTCCCGTGCTGTGCGAAACCGTGTTATAAATGAGACTAGAAGCCAATACAAAAAGGAGAGTAATTTTTCGAATGAAATATCTGTAGGTACTATGCCTTTATGTATTTTTTTTACTTATTTTAGATCAAAAAAATAAGCAATAAAAGTTCGCTTATTACCATATTATTATATTGTGTTCATAGCATAATGTATTTCCCTAAATAATTTTAAACGAAAATCTTTTATCACGTTGTATACCTACGTGGCGTGTTGTAAGAGGGTTTTGGGGATTTTTTTCTTATCGTGTTAGAGTGGAACCGTTTTGTAGGAGGGTTACATTATTGAAACGAAAATTGAATAGAGAAAATAAAAGAAAGCAAACAAATAAAATACGATTTTGTCCTTATTAATTTAAACTAATGGTCACCATGTGCCCGTAATGACCGCGACAGTTCACTCACCGTGCGACATTGCCTTGAATTGATACATATGTGTGCATTATCGTACATGGGTATGCTAATTCATTAATTTACATTCGCGAATAATTACGTATTTCTACTGATATCAAATTTCAATACGCTAATGAGAATGTTATTTAAGAAAACGAAAATTATACTACATAACGAGAAAGTCATTCATTCAGAAGACTAAGGGTACACGAACTCACAATATAGTGGAGACTATATACCATTTTGTGGTAGAGGTATCAAATATATTGTATTACGGCTGTTCGACATCTCAAGCCGGTTCGCATGAGTGCTGCGCGGCAAAAACAAACAGAATATCTTTACCCACTGGTGGTAGGACCTCTTGTGAGTCCGCACGGGTGCCTACCACTACCCTGCCTATTTCTGCCGTGAAGCAGTAATGCGTTTCGGTTTGAAGGGTGGGGCAGCCGTTGTAACTATACATGAGACCTTAGAACTTATATCTCAAGGTGGGTGGCGCATTTACGTTGTGGATGTCTATGAGTTCCAGTAACCACTTAACACCAGGTGGGCTGTGAGCTAGTCCACCCATGTAAGCAATAAAAAAAACCCATCCTGATGGCGGTACCTAACCGCGCATGTTCATAATATGGCCCCACCAGTTTTCCCCACAGGTCATCTGACTCTGGAAAGAACTCTCCAGCATGGTAATTCTCAAATATTTACTAAACCTTTAGTTGGTAACACATTACCAATACCGTAGTCGCATAGTGATATCCTGGAACATCAATAACTAATTACCATTAATTGCCATTATATGAATATGGGCCTGCTTAAGCAAAAAAAAACTTAATCCTCCTTCTCATATTTCTAGATTGATTGATCAATAAAAATCATACCATTATAGAGAATACAAAAGGCGCCAAAGACCTGGCATAGGGTATAAAACAAACATCATAGGTAAAGTACCCCGACCCCCACGAGCTATCCGTACAACGCCGCGCATCGTCCGAGCACAATAGATCTGGCACTGCTGAGGAACGTAACTCTGCGCTTGCGCTCCATCGAGGCAATGTCAGAACTCGACTCAGACCACCGACCTGTCGTCATGCAGCTCGGTCGCCCACTCAATCGCGAACCAGTTACGAGGACCATGGTGGATTGGAAGAAGCTGGGCACGTGCTTAGCTGATGCCACTCCACCAATCCCCCCCTGCGGCTCGGATTCAACTCCATCCCCCGAGGACACAGTCGAATCCATAAACATCTTTACTGATCACGTCTCGACCGCGATCATAAGATCTTTTAAACAAGTCGATGTGGAGGACTGCTTCCACCGCATCAGACTTTCCCCCGAGCTTATGGATCTCTTAAGAGTCAGGAACGCGGCAATCCGGGCCTACGATCGATATCCCACGGATTCAAACCGGATTCGGATGTGTCGTCTACAGCGGGAGGTTAAATCCCGCCTAAGCGACACCCGAAATGAGAATTGGGATAGTTACTTAGAACTCGCGCCCACTCACCAAGCATACTGGCGACTAGCTAGGACCCTCAAGTCCGAAACTATCGTCACTATGCCGCCTCTAGTACGCCCCTCAGGCCAACCACCGGCTTACGATGACGATGACAAGGCAGAGTTGCTGGCGGATGCACTGCAAGAGCAGTGCACCACCAGCACTCAATACGCGGACCCCGAACACACCGAGTTAGTCGACAGGGAGGTCGAGCGCAGAGCTTCCCTGCCGCCCTCGGACGCGTTACCCCCCATTACCACTTCTGAGGTTAAGGAGGCGATCGCTAACCTGCAACCACGGAAAGCTCCCGGCTCCGACGGCATCCGCAACCGCGCGCTTAAATTGTTACCAGCCCAACTAATAACGATGTTAGCCACCACCTTAAATGCTGCTATGACGAACTGCATCTTTCCCGCGGCGTGGAAAGAAGCTGACGTTATCGGCATACACAAGCCGGGCAAACCGAAAAACGAAACCGCGAGTTACCCTCCCATCAGCCTCTTCCCGGCGATAGGCAAACTATACGAACGGCTCCTTCGTAAACGCCTCTGGAACTTCGTTACCGCGAATAAGATTCTTATAGACGAGCAGTTTGGGTTTTGCGCCAGACACTCGTGCGTCCATCAAGTGCACAGCCTCACGCAGCACATCTTACGAGGGCTGAATAGGCGGAAACCCATCCCGACAGGAGCCCTCTTCTTCGATATAGCAAAGGCGTTCGACAAAGTCTGGCACAACGGTTTGATATACAAACTGTATAACATGGGAGTGCCAGACAGACTCGTGCTCATCATACGAGACTACTTGTCGAACCGTTCGTTCCGATATCGAGTCGAGGGAACGCGCTCCCGCCCCCGTCACGTCACAGCCGGAGTCCCGCAAGGCTCCGCCCTCTCCCCGTTACTGTTTAGTTTATATATCAATGGTATACCCCGGTCTCCGGAGACCCATCTGGCGCTCTTCGCCAGAAGAAGGCGTTGCTTCATCGGCGACTTCAGACCGCAGCTACCACCATGGGACAGCGGTTCCAGAAGTGGCGCATCGACATCAACTCCACGAAAAGCACAGCGGTGCTCTTCAAAAGGGGTCGCCCTCCGAACACCACGTTGAGCATCCCTCTCCCGACTAGGCGCGTCGACACCTCCGCCTCCGCCATTCGCCCAATCACGATGTACGACCAGCCCATACCGTGGGCCCCGAAGGTCAAATATTTAGTCGTCACCCTCGACAGAAGGATGACATTCCGCCCTCATATTAAGACGGTACGCGACCGTGCCGCCTTCATTCTAGGACGTCTCTACCCGATGATATGCAGGCGAAGTAAAATGTCCCTTAGAAATAAGGCGACACTCTACAAAACTTGCATACGCCCCGTCATGACCTATGCAAGTGTAGTGTTCGCTCACGCGGCCCGCACTCACTTAAAATCATTCAAAATCATTCAATCCCGTTTTTGCAGGATAGCCGACGGAGCCCCGTGGTTCGTCAGGAACGTCGACCTCCATGACGACCTGGACTTAGAGTCCATCAGTAAGTATCTACAGTCGGCGTCGATGCGCCACTTCGATAAACCGGCACGACACGAGAACCCTCTCATCGTGGCCGCCGGTAACTACATTCCCGATCCTGCCGAAAGAATGGAAAGCACTCGACGTCGCCCAAAACACGTCATCTTGGATCCTCCCGATCCACTAACGGTGCCTCTAGGTACTTCAAGCACCGGTCACCGTTCTCGTCGACGGCGCTTACGACGAAGGGCTCGACGAGTAAATTAACTCTCAGACACAGTCCACTGAGTTTCTCGCCGGATCTTCTCAGTGGGTCGCGTTTCCGATCCGGTGGTAGATTCTGCGAAGCACGGCTCTTGCTAGGGTTCGTGTTAGCAACGTCGTCAGGTTTGAACCCCGTGAGCTTACCTACTAGTTAGTGTTACGCTGGAATAGCCCCTCTAGGCTACCAGCTTAGGTAGGAAAAAAAAGAAGGTAAAGTAGTGTTTTGGTGAGGGTACTTTTTCATGACAGCAATATTATGTGTGCTTGTATTGATTGATATTTCACTAAAGTGACATGTTACTCAACATATGTGCTCAAGTTTATAATTCAGTAAACTATTAGTAAATACAATAGATAATGGCATTCAAAGTGGGTATTTTCACTTTTAATTCATAAAAACATAAATATTTCCATTTGTTGTTTTGCAAAATTAAAATATTTCAAACATGTAGTTAATGTAATAAAGAAAACCTTAAGCAGTTATAAACTCAACATCTTTATTTATAACAATGACATAAAATAGTTTCAGATGATATAACATGGTTTTATACCAATGAAATACCAATAAATATATAATGTTATTTTAAAGTTAGTCCTGAATTAAAAACCAAAGCGACCATAACTAACTCGAAGAAATATTTAAACCTTTATCCATGCCTGACACATTCACATGAAACTTCCGCAATGAAGATTGGTCAACGTAAACAGCATTTAAGGTAATTTAAAATAAAACCTATGAATTCATAATTTCTGATGTTATGGTATGTCATGGACCCATATGGACAAATACCACTCTCTCACTCTCTACAACTTAGTAGCCATGTGTTCCAGTATGAAGTCCTCATGTGCCAAGAAGTGTTATATATAAAGTTAGATCTTTGAACTCTAGCAACTAGCATATGCTATCTATAGCATAGATCGCATAGATCTATGCATTATATCTATAGCATAGCAGATCCTATTTATAGCAGTATTCATAATTCGAATATTGATATATACATATATGTACCTGTAAAAGTTTAAAACAGCTTATATGTGCTTTATTGATGATATTATTATTTGATGTGATAATATTCATATTTAATACGATCTTAGGACATTCATTTTTTTTGTGTAAAACATACGGATTTAAAACTTAGGTATTCATTACCAGGTAATAAGTTGGGCACTCGGATACTTATATTTTAATAAAAATATCACTTAATCTGTACAAAATTATAAATAATCTGATTATTAGGTTTTTTTTACAGGTTACTTTTACAGATTATTAATCTGAACAATCACACGTTAGGTTATTTCGATATTGTTTGAGGTCATTTGGCAGGTGCCGGTGCTGTCGGAGCGGCTGCCGCCCGCTGCTGGGCCGCCGAGAGCTGCGGAGTGGTAGTTGCCAGTGCTCGAAGTTGTTGTTCAGCAACAGAATTCACCATCTTCGTTACAGCAGCTTTCATCTTGTTACGCTCAATCAAAGATTTACTTGGAACGGGCGCGTTAGGACGTTTCGTGACCGCTTTACCTTTTGCCTTATTTTTGCCCTTTTTAGCTTTGGCACCGGAGGGTAGCTTCGTTTTTACTTTTAGCTTGCCCTGAGCCATTTTTAGTTTCTTTACTAAGTTTTATTTCAGAAAATGAATCAGATCAAAACAATTTTTGAAACGTGCTTTTGTTTTGACTGATTTTTGATTATTTTTGAGACTGTCACTTCTATGTGAAAAGCGAAGGCATCGTACCATACAGCCTTATCTTATATTTTATTTTAAATGCCACTACTGTACATATTTGAAATGGGTTATGGGATGAAATTCACTGAATTGAAATAAAGATTCAGTATCCACTATTACAAGATATATTAAATCAACAAAGTTAAAACTCCATTTGAATTAGCCTCTCACGTTCTCGCCAAGAAAAAATATGCTTCAAATATTCAAATATTTCTTTCAAATGGCCAAAATATACTAAAATTCCTTGGTTATCGACAATTCAAGAGGCTTTCTTCGTATGTAGTCAAATGGCCAACTTGGAAGATTCAGTACAGTGATGGAACCACTACATATGTATTTCTTCCGAAGTTAGGTTCATTAAACTAGTTCGCTTCTAGTGTGATTTTAGACTCATATTCATTTTGTAAGCCACAATAATTTTAAACCAATACTGATGGTACCAAAATTAAACAGAATGTATTTCTAAATTTGTTGCCATATTGTCTATCTGTCACCTATCTATAGATATTTTAAAATGGAATGTCAACAATACGTGCCATCCTATGGTGCCATCGTAACAAAAAAAAAGTATTAATGTGGAATAATGTACTCATAATTCCATGATCTCTCAGGCTATTACTGGTTTAAATGAAAGAACATTTATGTTTTATCTTTATTTACATATCCAAACGCTACAGATGAAATATACAGATTTATATAGTTTTATTTTCTGAAATATCAAGTGAGGAAATAAAATAGAATATGTACTATTATGCAATGAAGAATAAATGCTATTTATAAACTACTAATAATTTTCGGCGCACACGATAAGGAAACTACTGGACGAAAGGTATTAATTAACAAATATAAATGTATGTATCGTTAAAAAAAATAGTTAACGTCTACGTAATTTTAAATAGTTATGAATTCTATTTAATTTTACGAAATGTAAAAAGGTGAAAGGATTCAGGTAAAATACGATTAAAACTCAAAATCCACATAAGATTTCGGACTTTTATTCATAAATCGACTGTATTAAGTATATGAATTCGAGTTTCGAGTTAAGAAATATACATAGTATATAATATCTAAATATATTTTATGTACAGATAAATAGAAAAGTAGTCGAGTATAATAATCGGCTATCAATAGAATCGAGCGGCGAGGGTGCAGGCGACCGGCGGGAAGCGGTGCGGACGAGGCGCACCTCGCCATAAAACGTCTAGAAAAATAGATAAATCGCTCAAAAATGTCAGAATCAGTCGAGAGGATAGAAGGATCGAGAACGGTCGTCAGAGCCCGTCTCACGCGTACTCCGTGTCTGTAGAGAGGGAGCGTTCAGCCGGCGACCGCCGCCCGCCGGGTTCCGGTACCGGTGGCTCCTCCGCCTGTGCTTGAGCATAAGCCAGACTCTTCTGATAGCTAAACAACTGTCGCTCCAATGAATAATTTTCCGCCTGAAGTGCTGCAATCTCCCGTCTGCAATAAACACGTGAATGTTCAAAATCAAACTATTAGAAGACATGTCTTGGTCCACATTTCACAATGATTACCTCATTTGGTGGGCATGTAAACGGCACAAGTCATCATAAACGTGATAAGTTGCTTGAAAGAGTAGATAGGTGTCGCCCCATTCGAGGCGTACGCGAAGTTCCCCTCCAGGGTGCATAAAAGAACAACCGGCTCGTGAAACGTCTTCCACCCGCAAAGCGGTCTCCATCATGAGACCCTCATCAGCACTGTCTTGAGCGTAGTAATGTTCGAAAGGAGCTCCAGGAAGTTCCTCTGCCTCAGATTCCGAGTCTGCAGGAGTAGCGCGAACCAACCAAGCCGACCAGCTGACGTAGCGCAGGTGGTTGCGCGGGACGTGATGCACATCTCTATACAGCATGTGCAGACGCACTGTTTCCGAATGCATGTCGCACCGAAGTGCCCACGCTTGCTTATCACGATCATAGCAAGTGGCTGCCCTTCCCGAAGCCGAAACCGCCAACTCTGCTACTGCTCGCGCCCAAACCAGTTCTACAGTAAGTCGGACGCCTTTGTGCAGTAGGCGAGAAGGCGGACGAGGGTTCCAAGGCGGGGTCCGTCCCTCAGAATCACAGACACACTCTAGAGGTCCTGAGTGTATACGCCGCTCGCCCTCGCCAAGCGCAAGGGCATAACGAACTCGGCATTTCTGCCCTTCGCCAGACAATCTAACGAGACGTAAAGCTAAGGGTTCTTTGTTCCCGCCGCTGACTGAAACTTGCCAGTCGAAGCCGGCGAATGCTATTGGCGGAGTATCAAGGCGAGGCGCGCGTATCTCGCAAGAGTAGAGAGTGCGCACTCGGGACATAGTAAGTTCAAGTTGAAATTCGCCGCGTGCGTCCGCGAACTTGGCGTTAAGCTCCGCGAGCGACACGCATCTGCCGCGACCTTGGGCAGCGCATCCGGCGCTGAACCGAACCTGCTTGCCGGAGAAGCCTTCGTTGGCTGTAAAATGGTCACGGCTTAGAAGAGTAAAAGTGAAGTCTACATAGACCCTCATTCCTTCGCATGCTCCTCTCCATACCAGATATACACCTGTAACAAACATTGCTGTTAATTTACCAATTTCATTTGAATATACACGAATATCGTCAGCGGTAAATTTACACTAAGGGTAGTCGGGGCAAGTGCCCAGGGCGGCAATTTTTTTAGGGTGGCAAAATTTTGATATTAAAAAAAAATTTTTTTTAGTCTTATCAGGATTACATTTTCTGTTTAATTAATAATTCAAGAAATTCAATCCAATTCCATTATTTGTGAATTATAATTTTGGTACTTTTGGGAAAAATGAATAATGAAAATGATTTAATCAATTTATTTCCTTGGAGATTTAAAATAATAGGTAATCGATTTTTCTATTTTCTGGAATTAAAGAAATTGAATTAGTAGTTTATTTTATGTAATAAGGCTAATAATAATTATAAGTCTCCCTTAGTGCCAAATTTAGAATTTTTAGAAAAAAATAATATTTATTTATGTTTTTGGATTAAATAGCAAAGTTTCTGCAATAAATTAGTTACTCTATTTTGAAAAATAATATATATATATTATATATAAACTATAAGTTTAAGTAAAATTCCAGTATTGGGGCGGATTTTTATTTCCGGTGCCCAGTTAGATTCGGCCCTGGATATCGTAAAAAAATTTAAAAATGCGAACCGAGTGAGGTGTCAGTGCGGCTGAAGGCGACCGCCCATCTCTGGTGGGCGCAGCAGAAGTCCTTGGAGGTGACATCGCGGTCGGGCTCCCTGGTGGCGGAGCGCGTGACCACAAAAGTGAAGACATGGGTGTCGGCGCGGTCCTTCAGCCGCGTCGCTCGGTACAGCAGAGCCATACGCTCGCTCGCCGCACACCGGCCCAAACTGAGCGCCTCCCTGGCAACATACACTGTCACACCGTTTACGCTGTCTTCTCACCAATTAATCATTTACAAAATAATATCGAAAACTTAACAATAATCAAGCGCTAAATTAATGAAATCGATTGCTTTCTATTATATTTGCAAAATTCAAATATCGCGATGTCTTTCAAAGAAACAATCCTAACTAAAAGTTGCTTTATGATCAATTAGAGAAAAAAAATGATGTTTTTTTATTTTTATCGCTTAAATGGGTGGACGAGCTAACAGCCCACCTGGTGTTTGTAGCCATCTACGACGTAAATGCGCCACTCACCTTGAAATATCAGTTCTAAGGTCTCAAGTATAGTTACATTGTATAGTTGCCTATTGGGATAGAAAATTTCATAACTATCAAAAGGCTAAATACGATAATGGGCAGTGATGTACATGAATAGTACGCGGATAGCGCCTGCGGGTTTTGCACAAGCACAGCCCAGCTGAGGTCCAATAGAGAATATAAATAAATCTAACAGGCGTTCAGAGTATTTGTGTACCACAACTTTTTTATTACTTAGGTTGAAGAATGAATTCAGCCCACGTAGTTTTATGTGATTACCGGAGCCCCTAGACATAGAGTATGTAAATATCCCCACTGACCTTGAGACATGAGTTCTAAGATCTCAGTTTTACAGTACAATGGCTGTCCCACCCTTCAAACCGAAACGCATTACCGCTTCACGGCAGAAATAGGCAGGGTGGTAGTACCTACTTTTACGGGCTATAGGAAGACACCCAACTGTTACCAGTTATTGCGCAAATATTCCTTCACGGTGTCATTCGTCAACATTTGTTAAGTACGTATCTCATTAGGAAAATGATTACCTGCCTATGGGATTAAAACACCGGCATAGTCACACCGCTCGATTCGAATGCACTGGGCCACATATCTAGCCACAGCACAGCTTTTTGCTTAAATTTGAAATCATACACGATCACAAGCTTTGTACAATCATTTATATCAATAAAAACGAACTCTTTTATACTTTTTGTTTGCACTGTTTGCATTCTTAAACTATTCATTTATTCAATTGTGAAATGAAACTACAGCTGTGGGCAATTCGGGGAAGGGTTTTTGTCATTATGCATTTCGCGAGTTCTTTATCAAATCTTTATCTTTTATCTTCTATATATATATAAAAATGAATTGCTGTTCGTTAGTCTCGCTAAAACTCGATAACGGCTGGACCCTTTTGGCTAATTTTGGTATTGAATTATTTGTGGAAGTCCAGAGAAGGTTTAAAAGGTAGATAAATATGAAAATGCTCGGAAATAAATAAAAATAACAATTTTGTTTTTCCTTTGATGTGTCCCCCATCGAACGGATTTATTTTGTTTGTTTTAAGTTTATTTTATACAAAAGTTTAGGACTTTTATTTATCGATTGAGGCACTACTAAGTTTTTTTTTTTTTTTTTTTTTTTNCGCGCTCCTCCTGAAGCGTATAAGTGTGGAAGCTTATACGCTCCTTACGGAGGTAAGAGGTGAGGGCCCTATGGTCATCAGATGAATGCACCTTTATTTGGATGCCGTTCGCGAGGTTACGGGCATTCGTGAAATTGATATTTTTGGCCTTAAGGGCCAGGGAAACTCGATCCCAAGCTGCCTTCTCTTGAAGGATTACCGGAGGAGGCACTACTAAGTCTGCCGGGTCTGCTAGTATGAGATATTTCTTCTGTGAGTGTGTTTGTCACTGAAGTCCTCCTAAACAGCTGGACCGATTTGAATAATTTTATTTGTATGCGTTTGGATGGCGCCCTGGATGGTTTAGATTCACAAATCAGTCCGGCAGATGGCGCTGCAGTCGGTATCTAGGTTATTTATCTTTCCTAGAAATAATTTATATGGCCACCACGTTTGCCGGGCCAGCTAGTACAATATATGAAAAGTAACAAGTTACACAGCTTTGATAAATCCAGAAAGGGAATTTAAACCTTAAAGGGATATACCTAGTATAATAGTTGTGACGGAGTAGTAACATATTTGAAATATTTGTATTCAAATAGACATTATCTCTGCTTCAAATTTTAAACATAAGTTCAGTTTATATAATATAAATTAATTGTGTGGCAATTTTGTTTTGATAAACAATTCCTCTAATAATTATTTCCATTTCATAAACCTAAAGTAATTGAACTAGCAATAGCTTTGAAGTTGAACAAAACAGAGGAAACTAAGGTTTCAGTTTTCATTTGTATATCTATACTAACATTATAAAGAGGAAAGATTTGTTTGTTTGTTTGTTTCGAATAGGCTCCGAAACTACTGGACCGATTTGAAAAATTCTTTTTCCATTAGAAGCCGATATTGTCCCTGATGAACATAGGCTACTATTTTTTTTGTTTTTTGTTTCATGTGTGTTTAAATGTTTCCGAAGCGAAGCGAGGGCGGATCGCTAGTTATCTATATATGTGAAGCAAAAACTTTGTATCCCTTTTTACGAAAATTGCGCGGACGGAGGACTATGAAATTTTCCACACTTATAGAGAATATAGAGAAGAAGTGCACAATGCTAATATTTTTTTAAAATAATGCATAAAAGATACATTAAATCAATAAAGAAAACATTACACACACTACATACCATGATTTGACGCACACACGCATGCATACTATTTATTGTCAAACTTTTGTTCTTGACGTCAAATTGAGATTAAACATTGTTTGTCTTTTTTAATATTTTTTAGTCTTGGCGAAATTTGTGATTATAGAAGTATAAAATACAATCATAATAGTGTACAAACTTACAATTCCAATTAATTATAGTCGAATTTCGACTACTGCGGGACCTCTAGTTCTAGAATAAATACTTATTATATTTCATAATAATGCTTTGACCTATCTTATATTCACTTTACACTCACGATAGGTCCTAACCTAGCGTATCAGTAGGTGTATCTTCAGTGCGCTTAATGCGAGTTTTTTAATGTTCTCGATAGCGTAAAAGTTAACTCAAGTACGCAATTGGAACAGCGCCCCTAGCGGTAAACGTAGGCAAACGATCCCATTCCATACAAATATGGGCTAACTTTTACGCTATCGAGAACGTTAAGAAACCCGCACAAAGCACACAGTTCACTGCTTCCACTGCCCCAGTGTCTAGTGGGACGTGATAAGACTTCATGGTTGGGAGCTCTCGGTCTACTTAACGCGAGAGCCTACAAGCTTATATAGTACTAGCTGTACCCGTCCGCTTCGCTGGGCATTTAAAATTAACATTATTATTTCTCACCCTCACAAAGATTCTCATCATTAACGCCCCCGCAACTGGTGTAGGGAGTCTAACACTCATATAAATATTAGTTTATCCATGAAGTATTTTCTATACGGATACCAAGTTTCAAGTCAATCGGATGCATGGTTCAGTGGTTATAACGGAACATCCGTAAACACCACTGTAGATTTATATATCAGTATAGATTTATATATCTATACTGATAAATAATATAATAAAAAAAAGATATATATACCTATTTAAGCCTTTGACGAGATTTGTGTCAAAAAAAAAGGTAAAAATTGGCTGAACACCGCCAAGGATTAAAAAGAAGTTGTATAGCTTAGAGGAGGCTTATCCGAATGGAGTCTGCAGAAAAAAAAAGTAAATTTATGAAATAATTATTTATATTTAATATAAGAAACTAATTTTAATCTATTAATGTACCCATATTCAAATTATGTTTTTTATTGCTTGTTAAATTCTAATTAAGTTGTAATTTATGTTAAATTTTAATTTACTTGCATACGAAAATATTTTAATTGTTTATTAATAATTTTTCTAGGGAATAAAGAAAACTTTATTATTATTATTATTATTAAGCCATTGAGGTTAAGACATTCACTTACTGGATACGATACTGACCCGTACAATTAACGAATCTATACGAATTAACTAGAAATGGATATTGATTTTTTTTAAGTCGAGATTTAATTTTTCTTAAATCTTCATTCTTCTATAAATTTCACCAGTTCTTTTAATCAATTATTTCTATTTATTGTACAAACTAAATAAAAAAATCTGATTACATATTCAGATTGCTTTACACCACATTCATAGATAAGTTTGTCTGCGTGTTCAGAAATTAGAAAAGTGTTTTGTGGTTAACATATCAATAAAATCATAACAAAACTGACATTTGAGCCTTTTGTGTAATTGATGCATTACTGGTAGCCCAGAGGCCTTTCCAGTTTCACCAGGACAGATGGGCGAGCAAAGGGTCTCCCGGGAATTGCTAGCAGCTGCCCGAGAGCTTCCGAAGGCTCAAAAGCGGCTTAAGAGCCCGAATGTATCTACTGCCGGATCGGAATCGCGACCCGCTGAGAAGATTCGGCGAGAAACTCAGCGTGCTGATGTTTAGGTTACGCTGCACGTCGAACTCTTTGCCGAGTTCGACGGGTACTCTATTATAACTCTATTATATATCTCTTTATACTAGTAGCTCTACTATAATATAATATAAGTATACAATTTATATTATTTTGAGGGTAGCTCATATATCAATTTCTATTCAAGATTATAAAAAATATTTACGGATCATTTTATCATACCTTAATGAACATAGCATTTAATTAAAACAACATTGTCTACTTAGCAGAAGTACGTATTTACTGCCAAAAAAACAATTATAATTACGCAAAGATCTATCATATTTTATCATAATTTTACGTANGTATACAATGTATATTATTTTGAGGGTAGCTCATATATCAATTTCTATTCAAGATTATAAAAAATATTTACGGATCATTTTATCATACCTTAATGAACATAGCATTTAATTAAAACAACATTGTCTACTTAGCAGAAGTACGTATTTACTGCCAAAAAAACAATTATAATTACGCAAAGATCTATCATATTTTATCATAATTTTACGTATTACATTCGCACCTATCATCATTTTATCAATACCATACGATTTAATCACAGATTTCCCGAGAGTATTTAAACCAAAATCACCCGTGCTAATTGGTGATAATATTAAAAAATGCGTTCCATATTCATTCTCGCGTTAAGCCTCACAGCTTTTACGGGTATGTATATATGTGTTTATCTACCACAGTAATTGATTTATAAATCTCTCGAACCTCCGATGTTGATTGGTTTGAGAGTAATAGGTCAAATACCGCTTTTTTTTTTTGTATTAAATACAGTTTTCTTTCTCAATCATTCCCTAAATTAATTAAAATCGTTGTTATTGTAATGCAATCTAATAACCGTTTCTACATCGATTTATGTTATTGACCAGAAACATAATTTTTTCGACTAAAGATTATTAGAAGTTTCTCTGGCCAACCCATCTATCGCTTGGATTAAAATCAATATACTTTATATTCCTATATCTATATACCGAATTGTAGACAAGCAGAGTTTCGGAGAGATAATAGTCTTTCCAGCTTAATCAAAAGGCCCAGCTATATCAAAATGGCCTGCTTGAACAACATGTACTTCACCATCCATTTTTTACTGGGAATACCTTCACTTTGTAATTATTGTTATCATGATTGGCATGGATGGAATGGACATGAATGGAAGAAGTGTTGTGAAGCGGTTTGGAATTGCTACCTTCCGAGAAATTCTCATGCACCCAAAGAATTCCAAAAGAATCATTGAAGCAAATTAATTTATCTGGTTCTCATTCAGTCTCGTTCCTTCTCGTTTGAAGTCGTCGTTGCCAAAAGGATAACACGTCCGGTGCATTCGTATCGAGCGATGCAACTGTGTTCGAATCCCGCAGGCGGGTACCAATTTTTCTAATGAAATACGTACTTAACAAATGTTCACGATTGACTTCCACGGTAAATGAATAACATCGTGTAATAATAAACAAACCCACAAAATTATAATTTGCGTAATTACTGGTGGTAGGACCTCTTGTAAGTCAGCGCGGCCAGGTACCACCACCCCGCCTATTTCTGCCGTAAAGCAGTAATGCGTTTCGGTTTGAAGGGTGGGGCAGCCGTTGTAACTATACTTGAGACCTTAGAACTTATATCTCAAGGTGGGTGGCGCATTTACGTCGTAGATGTCTATGGGCTCCAGTAACAACTTAACACTGGGCTGTGAGCTCGTCCACCCATCCAAGCAATAAAAAAAAGTATATAATTATGTAATTATTCTGAGCGCTAATCACAGATATAACAATTATACTCAATTTTATTATCACTCAATTTTATCGGCAGCCATCTCTGCGGCCCCGTCTCTGAGGATCGTTGGAGGTAGTACAACGACGATAAATCGGTACCCAACAATAGCTGCCCTGCTTATGACCAGGAACTGGAGTACTTGGTCCCAGAATTGCGGAAGCTCTATTCTCAACAACCGATCCGTTTTGACCGCAGCACACTGTATCATGTGAGTTTTCTCTCTCTCTCTCTCATTTTATGGCCTCACGGGCCACATCACCCTGCCTGCCTTTCTAAAGCGACGCAGTATTGCGTTCTGGTTTAAGTAGTGGGTCCTCCGTTGTCTCATGTCTTGAGGTGGTTGGCAGCATTGACATCGTGACGTCTATGGACTCCGATAACCGTTTAACACCAGATGGACCGGAAACTCATTCAGTCATCTAAACAGATAAAAATCATTAAATATGAAATATTATCACGACCCTATACTTTAAAATAATAATTTGGAGTTTTTTAATGTTTTTTTTTATCTGCACGGATTTGGAACATTACACCCTACGAATAAATAATAAGACTTTAATAAGACTTTAATAAGAATAATAAGACTTAACTTATTACGTTTAATTAATAATAAGTCTTATTAATTAATAAGACTTATTAATAATAAGTCTTATTAATTAAACGTAATAAGTTATTATTATTAATAATAAGTCTTATTAATTAATATTAATAATAAGTCTTATTAATTAATAAGACTTATTAATAATAAGTCTTATTAATTTAACGTAATAAGTCTTATTATTTATTCGTAGATTACATACCGCCACTCGCACTCTGTCATTTTAAATTATGGCTGCCACCTTAAGAAATATCTAAGTTTCGATTGCAATGTACAAAGGTTGTCCCACCCGTGAAACCGGAACCTGTTAGTGCGGCTGAAACATTGGGAGATTGTAGGTGGTTCCCTAATAACATTTATACATTAGCGTCTTATCTATGACGTCATAGGCACTGGTTACTTTAATATAACCGGGTTTAAGTCTCATGGTTACCTGGCCCCAAACTATAGGACCCCTTTTACTATGGCAGCCAGAGACTGATGCACATTTAAATATATATATATATTAAACCCCACCCCTCCTGGCTGAGCCTGTGCTCGCCCACCTGTCCTGGTGAAACTAGAAAGGCTTCCGAGCCACTAGTAAGCCTTGCGAACACGCCGAACCCGTCGTTAACAAAGAGCTCGCCGAGTAAATTAACCCATAGACACAGCCCACTGAGTTTCTCGCCGGATCTTCTCAGTGGGTCGCGATTCGGATATGATCGTAGATTCTGCAAAGCACTGCTCTTGCTAGGGCCAGTGTTAGCAACACCTCCGGTTTGAGTCCCGTTTAAGTAGACGCTAGGGTAAAGCTGAAATAGCCTATCGAGGCTATCAGCATAGGTATGAAAAAAAATTACATGATTAGTTGCCCTATGTGAGAGATAGGAACGCACGAACCTCGGCCCAGCAGTAAAGGGCGCTAACTATCACGGTTGTCGTTATTGTTATTCTATTTTCAGCGACGACGCAGTTGGCGTCTGGCGAGTTCGAGTCGGTTCAACTTGGGGTAACAGTGGCGGCGTGGTGCATCACGTGAACAGACACATAATACACCCAAACTACGGCAGATGGTCTCGTGACAATGATATTGCGATCATGCGCACTTCAAGCAACATCAACTACGTGAACAATGCTGTGCAACCGGCCCGCATTCCTGGATCAAACTACAACCTGGGCGACAACCAGGTAGTTTGGGCGGCTGGCTGGGGAGTCACTCGGGTAAGAGAACGTTAACACTTAAATCAGCATTTCTGGACATTTCGAAGTTGCAGACCTGATAAAAAAAAAGATTTTTACTGGTGGTAGGACCTCTTGTGAGTTTGCACGGGTAGGTATCACCACATTGCCTATTTCTGCCGTGAAGCAGTAAAGCGTTTCGGTTTGAAGGGTGGGATAGCCGTTGTAACTATACTGAGACCTTAGAACTTATATCTCAAGATGGGTGGCGCATTTATGTTATAGATGTCTATGGGCTTCAGTAACCACTTAACACCAGGTGGGTTGTGAGCTCGTCCAACCATCTAAGCAATAAAAAAAACCGATTTGATCTCTCATTTAAACGCCAGGTCGAACCGTAGGATTTTTATTCAGTACAGATAGAAATATAAAACTAGACATAGAAGGCCTAAAATTGGTGAAATTATTGTGTGTTTGCTTTTAACTGACGTTATTTGTCATAATAATCATATTATATCTTCTTCAAAAGTGTTTTATCGGTAGTCTAAATATATCACTCACCTTCTGTATGTGAATAACAACGCTAATCATTCTAAAACATTACTCGGAAAATAATTATTGAAGGCTTTTTCGGGTTAGTACAGAAGTGAACTGATTAAAACAGTTTATAGCTTAAAAAATGCAACCTTAACTACTAGGTGTATGATTGTTAATCAAATTGATAAATTTTGTTTACCAACTACTGTTCTAATATAATGGTACGCGGCACAGCCATTCCATTGCCTTTTGACAGATTCCAATCTCTAAATATAAAAATGAATTGCTGTTCGTTAGTCTCGCTAAAACTCGACAACGGCTGAACCGATTTGGCTAATTTTGGTCTTGAATTATTTGTGGAAGTCCAGAGAAGGTTTTAAAGGTAGATAAATATGAAAATACTCGGTATCAAATAAAAATAACAATTTTGTTTTTCCTTTGATGTGTCCTCCGTCGGACCGATTCCTTTTGTTTGTTTTAAGTTTTTTTAATACAAAAATTTATGTCTTTTATTAATCGATTGAGGCACTACGAAGTCTGCCGGGTCAGCTAGTCATTAGACTGTGAAAGTAACAATTGGTATATTATTACTATAGGAGACCGCGAAAAAAAAAACAAAAAAAAAACTGAAACAACAAAAATTATGATATCAAATTAAAAATAACACATAGTCACATATCACAAAATTTTTTTTATTGCCCTTGTAAGCAGACGAGCATACGGCTCACCTAATGGTGAGTGGTTGCCGTCGCCATAGACTTCTGCAATGCCAGGGGCAGAGCCAAGCCGCTGCCTACCGCTTAATACTCTCCACAAGCCTCGTTTGAAGAAGGGCATGTCATAGCGCTCGGGAAACACCGTGGAGGGGAGCTCATTCCATAGCCGGATTGTACGTGGCAAAAAATACCTCTGGAAACGGACTTTCGATGAACGCAGCAGTTCCAGATAATATGGATGAACTCTGCTCCGATGGCGGGAGATGCGATGATAAAAAGGAGATGAGGGGATCATCTCAAACAATTCCTCAGAGCACTCCCCATGGAACATACGGTACAAAATACAGAGAGAACCGAAGCCTCTCCGCAGACCCAGAGGTTCCAAGAGGTAGCGCAGTCGTATTATCATTTGCTTCATTAGTTTATTTTATTCATCAAGCGGTTAATGAAAAATCAACGTTATTTTACGTTAATAAACTGTTTTAGGCTAATCATAACAAACTCATCGGGCGGCTTACTATTTAATCTCGTTTTTTTAAATCTGATTAATTAATTGATTGATATTCGTACATATCTATTTCAAGATTATACACTCCATCAAAGAGTTGATACCTACTTCCTAACAAAATTCAAGTTATCAACAAATCCAACCTTGATAGCATAACGTCAACAGGTGCAAAGAATAACATTGTAACTCTTGAATGGGAGACTTCTTTATCCACATAATATAATACATGTATACATGTCCACGGTGAAGGAATAACATCGTGTAATAAAAATCAAACCCGCAAAATTATAATTTGCGTGATTACTGGTGGTAGGACCTCTTGTGAGTCCGCGCGGGTAGGTACCACCACCCTGCCTATTTCTGCCGTGAAGCAGTAATGCGTTTCGGTTTGAAGGGTAGGGCAGCCGTTTTAACTATACTTGAGACCTTAGAACTTATATCTCAAGGTAGGTGGCGGCATTTACGTTGTAGATTTCTATGGGCTCCAGTAACAACTTGACATCAGATAGTCCGTGGAGCTCGTCCTCTCAACTAATCAAAAAAAAAAACACATTTCATCCCTATTAAGATTCCAATAGTTTATAGGAATTCAGGAGTTTTTAAACTAAAGCCACTAAGTTACGTATGTACAGATTCGTATAACGAAAAAACTCTTCCCGCTCTGTTCGGACACGGTTTTGCACTTTATACTGACATTCACGTAATTATTGGAAAAGTTGAGCCGGATAAGAGCAACACTACTTAAAATCGGAATAATCGATTCGTTTCCAATGTAACAAAATAATACTATTACTCAATAATTGTTAATGAATGTAATATGGATGCAAAATCTGAAGTAAATGAAATAAAAAAACTTCAGAGGTGTCAAGGGACACCCGGATGGAACGAAGTTCCTTTCGATTAATTAGTGAAGGAATTGTAATATTTTTTTAAAATTATAATAATAAATTACGGCATTATGAAGAAGAAAAAACAATACTATGAACTAAATTAATATTGTTTGAACGCTATCTCGAGAAACTGTACTCATTACGCGGACCAATCGGATACGAGCAATGTCACGCGATAAGCGCCTACACGTTGATTGGTCAGAATGACTGATCTAAAAAGTGTCGTGACAACTTTTCGTAAGAATTTTTTCCGTCTAGCCCCCTTTCACAACGCGCGATAAGGAACTTCGTTCCAAAAATAAAATAGCTAAAATGGGAAACCCGGTAACTACTAGCCGGTAATATAGTAACATTATGTTTGCTCGGGGCGTATTGTTATTAAAAAAGTTTGAGAGGTTGTAGTTGAGTAGATTGTGGTAAAATGCATTTTCTAATCAATTATATCCATATAAATTGAATTATTTTTGTGATCCGATCCTCTTCAATTAAGCAAATTAAAAGTAAAGCGTGGCAGATTTCATTTATTCATTAATTGTCATTAAAAATGGGTACAGTAAGTCTTTTACAAATCTCCCACCATACGTTGCAAATACAATTCCTTATCGACTTTAATACTACTGTTAGCAGTGATTTAATGATAATAATATATTTTCCTCGATCGATAAGGCCAATAATTAAAATATATCTTAATTATATCGGCATCGCACACACGTAATCGATAATTTTCTAATCTCAGATTTCCCGTAATTAACGTTGTCGAATTAAAATAATTTTCTTAGGCATGTCTTAAATTCTATATATAAATAGACAAAAAGAAAACAATATGCTCTTCCCCTCTGTTTGTCAATGTTTTTTTTAAATATGGTACCTATTAACAATCTTCGATGCTAACGACAACAAAAAAATTATGGGAATAAGTAATTTTTTTTTTTTTGGTCAAGAGGAAATCGCCGGACTTCCACCCTTTTCTGGGGATACTGGGCGGGGTATGTCAGAGTCGAACTGACTAAAACATCCTGTCGCTCAACAACCAACGTCCAAACCTTGCATGAGACAGAACTCATGACAAGGCAAAGGGGGGAAAGTGAAGCGTTTAGTGCGGAGCACATCTCTCCCATCACCCTCCCCCTCGGGACGCCGGACTGGCGGTCGTCACGCCAGACTGGCGCCACGACCACCAGCCCTCTCGGTCAGCAGACTGTCCGAAGCCCGCCTAGATGGCGTCGGTTAGAGTGGGTTACCCTACGGCATACCCCGCTGGGCCAGAACCAGCGTGGGTCGAGGATAGCCGGCCTTCCATCACCCGGATCCTCTTGCCTAAAACGCATGCAGAGCAGCTTGCACGTCGTCTTCTTAGGCCCCCCTCGCCGGTCCCCAGACCGACATGTGAGGGGGACCCGAAACACTTAGAGGGCCAGGGCTTGGGCGAGATCCGCCTCCCTGCCCCCCGCTCGACGGCGGCGGGATTGTGCGTCTCTAACGCGCCCCGCCACCTCCTTCTGCGAGATGGTGTACTCGCAAAAGTCGAGCATCGCCTTCCACGACTCGTCGTCGCCGAGCATCGATGCCACAGCACTCGGCAACGACAAGTCGGTTCCTATTTTTGCGACGAGGACACGGCGCCACCCCTCCCATGCGGGGCAGGCGACGAGCGTATGCTCTGCCGTGTCCAAGTCGCAACCACAATGGTGGTACTTGCCGTCGGCTCGGCTGTGATCCGGTGCAGGAACTCACCGAAACAACCATGTCCAGTGAGCACCTGCGTGAGCCGGAAAGTGAGGCGTCCTCTGTCACGATTCACCCAATCCACAAGGACCGGGCGAATCGTCTCGACGGTCCTACGACCAGCCGAAGGATCAGCCAGCCGTCTGGACCATGACTCCAGCACGGACCGCCGAGATTGGGCCCTCCGCGCTGTGACCACACTGGGGCTGGGACGCGCCACGCCCCGAACACGAAGGTCAGCCCGCCACTTATAGTCAGCGGCGAGCGCCTCCGCTTCCAGAACCCAAGGCGGCGTTCCAGCCAATACACACGCCGCCTCAAAGGAGATGGTGCGATAGTCACGGATGACCCTGACCGCGATGGTGCGTTGCGGCCGTTGCAGCAGCTTCGCCACCCCCACGGCCAGAGACAGGCCCCACACGGGCGCCCCGTATAGGGCCATTGATCGCACCACCCCCGTATAGAGACGGCGCGTCACCTGGTCAGGCCCCCGACGTTGGTCAGAAGCCGGCTTAACGCGCCGGCCACCCCCAACAAACGAGGGACCAGGCTCTGAAAGTGAGCACGGAAGGTCCAACGACTGTCCAGAATGAGGCCGAGGTACTTTAACTGCACCCCGACCCCGATACGGACGCCGCCAACCACGATATGGGCATCGACAGATGGCACTCTCCGGGGCCTGTGGACGACATGCGCCACCCCAGCCGTAGCAAGACGGGCAGATTCAGCAAAACTCCCCCCCCCCCCCGGCCACGACCAACGTGTCGTCCGCGTAACAGATTACGCTCAGGCCCGGGTGGAGGGCACCTCTCAGGGAATAAGTTATTAATCTAATTTTACAAAAATTAACGCCCAAAAAAAACGCGCTACATAAATTTATTTTTAAATCTCGACATATATGTCATTATTGTCAGTATTGTATTTCAATCATTGAACGAGCTCCCGTATGCTTGTAGCTGGAATAGCGCCTTAAGTTATCAGCGTACTATCAAGCTACAATTACAATTAAATTAGTTCTATTAATACATAATACAAGCTGTACCCGTCCGCTTCGCTGGGCATTTAAAATTAACATTATTATTTCTCACCCCCACAAAGATTCTCATAATTAACGCCCCGGCAACTGATGTAGGGAGTCCAACACTCATATAAATATTATTATCCATTAAGTATATGTATTTTCTACATGGATACTAAGTTTCAAGTCAATCAGATGCATGGTTCAGTAATTATAACGGAACATCTGTAAAAACCCCTGTGAATTTATATATTAATATAGATAAATGTGTATGTTTATTGCTTGGGCATAAATTACGTAAATGCTGCCATCCTCCTTAAAACATGAGTTCTATGTAGCACTGCCCACCACTAAGAACTCCATTCAAACCGATTTTAAAATAAAGTAAACTTTTATATTTAAATCCCTTTCAATAACTATCTATTTCAGCTTAAAAATATGCATGAATGTTTATCCAGTTCCTAGATCCTTATTAAGGATAATCTTAACGTGACGCCGATGACCATGTGTCTTTTTCCCGGATTATAAATAAAATTCTCATGTCACAATGTTAGTATACCGTACTCCTCTGAAACGGTTTGACCGATTTTTTGAAAATTTTATATGCTTATTCAGTAGGTCGGAGAATCGGCTACTATCTATTTTTCATATCCCTAAGTGATAAGGGTTGTCCACCGCTAACATTTAATTTTTATTTTATTTATTTATTGAGGCATTATGTGGTTGAATGAGGTTTTGTTATTTTTATATTACTCATTTACCACATACTTACGCACTTACAAAAAGTTCGTTTTTTTTTCTACACTAGAAATTTTCTAGAAATCTTATATATGGCAAAACAATGTTTGCCGGGTCAGCTAGTTTGTTTATAATAATAATTATTATATTATTCCTTGCAGTTCGGCGGCTCACTCTCTGAGCAACTTCGTCACGTCCAAGTCTGGGTCGTAAACCAAAGCGTCTGCAGGTCTCGGTATGGTGGTAATACCATCACAAACAACATGCTTTGCGCTGGCTGGCTGGACGTTGGCGGTCGCGACTCATGCACCGGTGACTCTGGAGGTCCGCTTTATCACAACAACGTGGTCGTTGGTGTGAGCTCTTTCGGAAATAACTGCGGTCATGCCCGCTACCCTGGCGTCTACGCTCGCGTATCCCGGTACACTTCATGGATTCAAAGCAACTCTTAATTCAATTTATTATATTACTTTCTGTCATAAAATAAATCATATAAGCTGAGGATTCCAGTATTTTATTTGATTGAATTGTTTTAAACTTTCGCGGCCATCTACGTTAAGTCTGAACTGATGATAGGACGTCTTGCGAGTCCGCGCGGGTAGGTACCATCACCCAGCCTGCATATTTCTACCGTGAAGCAGTAATGCGTTTCGGTTTGAAATGTGGGGCAGTCGTTTACTGTAAAAACTGAGACCTTAACAGTTATGTCTCGAGGTAGGTGGCGGCATTTACTCGAAATATTAAGGATATTAAGGACTCTTTAAATGTGAATACCGTGGTAAGAATCAGATAACCAGTAGTGTATGTAATATTGGTTCGTTTGATTGCAGTTTGGCTCCTTTGGATAGCTATATCATATACAGTGTACTAATAAAATAAGTAGACAGTTACATTGTCAATCTCCGAAAAATTCGTCAATCTCCGAAAACACTTCTTAATTATCGTCAAATAATTGGATTAGTGTGATTTCGTTTAATACCCCATTCATATCAGGTGAGAAAATCCAGCTGTTTAATCATACTTAATCGAATTTTGTATTAGTTTTAAAGTCTTCATTGACTCAATCATAATAACAATCTGTGACAATGCTATGCGTAAAAATTCTATTGTTATCACTGAGAACTTAAGTAAGTTGTGCTTTGATGCCGAAGTTTACTTAAACGTGGGTTTTTGAAGTAATTTTCTGTTTAGACAGCGCCTTAAAACAATTAATCACGCAATCAAACAAGTGATAACATTTTTATCAAATACTCGTATATCATCATCATCATCAACAGCCCATAGTCGTCCACTGCTGGACATAGGCCTCTCCCAATCTACACCACTGAGCCCGGTCTGCGGCTCTCCTCATCGTATATACAACAATGAAAACTATATCCAGCATTAAAATTTCACAAATGTTTGCCTATTTTCCCGAGTTCTATTTTAACATCTATCAAAAAGCCGAAATCTAAATTGTGACTATTATTAAAATTATTTTATCGGTTCTCATAATATAAATTCATACTTTTACTCTCGAGCATGACCTGTTTCGCTTTATGAATTAATAATAATACAGCTCAGTGAATGTAAAAGCACTTTTTACAATGGTATTTTTTTAACATTTTCATAATTTAATTTCCGTGCAAATGTTTCATGAATGGGCATATTAGGATGACGCGACGAGAAGCACGTGGGTGGGATCCTATTGATTTAATCTCAAAGGTCCAGGATGCTCCTAGTACTAATACTAGCAGTAGCTATAGCAAAGCTCATGGTACTCGTAAAAATCTCATCCAGCTGAGTTTCTCTTGTGCATCTGCTTGTACTATAAAAATTACTCAATTATAGCTGTGGGAATTATATCAAGTGGCTTTTCTGTTATACCAATAGATAGTAGACAAAGTTAGGTCAGTTTTAAAAATTACTCTGGAATCTCTGCTGTGACGTATACTATTGTTAAGCGGGTAAGAGTAACGCCATCTATCGCTGAATAGCAGAAACGAATATCGAAAGTAAAATCGAGAAGTACAACGCCATCTATTGTTAGATAGCAGAAACACGTATCGAAACTACTCGACTTGCTCAGAATGTTCTCGATAAATCTAGGGACGTCGTATCGACTATAAAAGCGTTGCAGAGATGGCACGCAGTCAGTCAGTAATCGGAGCTACTCGAAGCGAAACAGCGAACGGATCACCTGAAGCGAAACGGAAGATATAAATTGAGAATTTTAAAGTGTTCGTTAAGTGTTCTAAGTGTTAATACCGTTTGAATTTATACTTCGGTGGAATTTTTATTTATCCCGAACCCCAGCGCGTACGTAACACGTAAGCCTACTTAATACCGGGAGGATCGTAATATTTTCTGTCCAATCTATAGTAATAACATAAAAACGAATGCTCACCTTTAAAGAAAGCCTGAATTATCTGTTGCTTACATGATTTATTTTAATCTCAAGTGATAAATAAATAAAAAAGGGACAGAAAGAGCACCGCCCGTTTGGCGTATCGCGGCATATTGTATGTGACGTATGTAAGTAAGCGTTATTTACAACGGGCTCGGAAATATCGCATTAAGCCGACTATAATATATCAAAGTACTTTGGATATATTTACATGTTCCACATTACCTTCATAACAATGGTATGAATAAAAATTTACGTAGGTAAGGTATCACAATAAGACATCTCTTCTGGCACATAATATGTTGTGATAATACTCGTAGAATGTGTCACGGGAACTTTTGTTTTTGTAAGAGCTCATTCGTATTTATACAGAACGGGACGTGACTTCATTTCTCACTGTGACATACGTCATAGAATTTTTGGAAACCATTTACATTTCCTTTATCGCTCAACGAAAAGTCATTGAAAACGACATCCATTTTCGTGTAGTATAATAATTCCTGAGTAAATTTAGTGAGACGAGACTAAATAAAATAATAAATAATAATAATAGATAATAAATAATAATAATTTGAATAAATAAATCCGTAATGCAGTGTGCTTAAAGTTAAATAGTTTAGACATTATCATTATTGTGAAATACGCTTTGATTTTCAAAGTTATAATTAAAATCAACAATTTGTGCTATTAATGGAATTCCGTATTAACCTTTTCACTATTTAAATGATGATTGGGCGTATTGCAAACTCGGACGGGCCCGAATCAAGATTCCGCCTATTTCAGTCGCGAAGCAATGACGCATCTCGGTTTGAAGGGTAGGTACCAGCACCCCGCCTATTTCTACCGTAAAGTAAAAATGCGTTTCGATTTAAATGGTGGGGCAACCGTTGTAACTATACACATACTGAGACCTTATTAGAACCTGCCTATATCTCAAGATGGGTGGCGCATTTACGTTGTAGATGTTTATGAGCTCCAGGGACCACTTAACACCAGGTGGGCTGTAAGCTGGTCCACCCATCTAAGCAATAAAAAAAAGCTGAAGGGTGGAACATCTGTTTTAAAATACAATTATTTCGCCAATACCACAAATTTCGACCTCAGGCCTGAAGTTCTCACGTCTGTCTAACCATTTTACGCATGAGTTTGTCATGAATTCGTTCTACTTCGGAACTACGCTATAAAAAATAACTTTAAATATCTTTCATAGAGTAGAGTTCATCCACACTACCTGGAGCCACTGCGTCCATCCACAGTGCGTTTCCAGAGATCTTTTTTGCCACGTTTTCCACGGCTATGGAATGAGCTCCCCTCTACGGTGTTTTTCGAGCGCTATGACATGTCCTTCTTCAAACAAGGCTTGTTGTTGTTGTTGTTGTATTAAGCGGTAGGCAGCGGCTTGGCTCTGCTCCTGGCATTGGTGACGTCCATGAGCGACGGTAACCACTCACCGTCAAATGGACCGTATAATCATCTGCTTACACGGACGATAAAAAAATAAAATAATTATATGATGCATTATATAGATGTATTGTATGCATATCAATCAGTGTTTGTTTACCATAGTACAGAAAATTCTAGTCACGTCACACGTGGTCGTGTGTAATTTATCACCGATTATTAAATTATTTAACTAATGTCGATCAATACATAAATAATATACCTCTGTGGGAATACGGTGACAGACAGACAAAACAGTTGGCGTACCGCTTGGAGTCATTTGAATATACCAGGATTCCACCACCCACTATATTTATTTAACTTCAGGTAGGCTCCGAGTTGCCTTTCTTCAGCAATGTAACAATAATACAGAAAAGAAAACCGGCTTCAACAAAATTAAATAAGAATATCATCAATCGAATATGCATTATTAAGAAAAATTCAAAAACTACTGGTTAGATCTTGTTTAAATGAGTCCGCACGAGAAACACGAGCTTTCAAATAAAAAAGTATCAAAAAAATAGTCGAAGTAGTAACCTCCCTATTTTTCCTTAAAGGCAGTCTATACATATAAATAAAATTGGAGTGTATGTTTTGTAATATTGAAATAGTCTCTTTTTACTACATGGATATGAATATTTATACGGTACATACACCAAAATAACATTTTTTACAATTTTTGTCTGTCTGTTTGTTCCGGCTAATCTCTGGAACGGCTGGACCGATTTTGACGGGACTTTCACTGATAGGTAGCTGATGATGTAAGGAGTAACTTAGGCTACTTTTTTAGACTAGCTTCGCCCCGCGGCTTCATCACATAACATCGCGGGACTCAGCTATTAATAATAAAATTTAATGTTTCCGAAGCGAAGCGAGGGCGGGTCGCTAGCAACAACTTGACAACTGCCGACCGCATTTATATGAACGACGCTGTCTACGACCAGAACTGAAGTCGTCTTGTCAACGACTTTCAAAGTGTAAGTGGTTCTCAGGCCTCAGTTCCCTACTGCTATTAGACTAACGAGAGTGCCTAACACATCTACGCGGCCTTCGGTCTTACTCTACATTTGCTTAACTAATAAACTCGCTGGCATTGTTTGTACAGACATTACTTTAAATTATTAAATGGTAAAATGAATTGAACGCGTAACTAAAATTAGTTTTACAGTTAATTCCTTGTATTTAATAAAACTAGAAGTCCCGCAGTAGTCGAAATTCGACTATAATTAATTGGAATTGTAAGTTTGTACACTCTTATGATTGTATTTTATATTTCTATAATCACAAATTTCGCCAATATTAACAAGGACAAACAATATTTAATCTATTCTCAATTTGACAACAGACGTCAAAAACAAAAGTTTGACAATAAATAGTATGCATGCGTGTGTGCGTCAAATACATGGTATGTAGTGTGTGTAATGTTTTCTTTATTGATTTAATGTATATTTTATGCATTATTTAAAAAAAAAATTTACATTGTGCACTTCTTCTCTATATTTTCTATAAGTGTAGAAAATTTCATACTCCACGTCCACGCAATTTTCGTAAAAAGGGATACAAAGTTTTTGCTTCACGTATTAATATATAGATATTTCTTATGGAGAACTAAAGGGTAGTCAGCATAATACTCAAAGTGTTCAGTGACCATGAAAACTGTAAAAAGTATTTGAGACCTCGGAAGTGATAGAATAACAACAATAAATGCGAGAGTAAACCTCGTTCAGGTATAATTATGTGTACTACTCGCGGAAATCGAAGAAAATATTAATTTAAAATATGACTTATTTACATCTACGGATCTAAAAAAATTTTTTTTTTATTGCTTATGTAGGTGGACGAGCTCACAGCCCACCTGGTGTCAAGTGGTTACTGGAGCCCATAGACATCTACGACGTAAATGCGCCACCCACCTTGAGATATCAGTTCTAAGGTCACAGTATAGTTGCAACGGCAGCCCCGCCCTTCAAACCGAAACGCATTACTGCTTTATGGCAGAAATAGGCAGGGCGGTGGTACCTACCCGCGCGGACTCTCAAGAGGTCCTCCCACCGGTAATTACGCAAATTATAATTTTGCTAAATTACATAATTATTATAATGGATAAAACAGAGCTATTTATGCTTTGCAAATTATGGTTTGATGAAAAGTGTGTAATTACGCAGTTTTCAATCAACAATCATTATTTAAATTACAAAAGAAACAAAGATTTTCTTCATTAATTTACAATTGAAAAATCGTTCGTGTTCAAATGTAAAATAAATCTTCAAACAAATGCAAGGCTCGCGTGTTCGATGCTCCGATATGACCCGCTAAGTCTTAAAAACTTATTAACATAGATTAGAAACTCGACTTAACGTACACACGAACACAATTAAAACTTTTACATCGAAA